CGTCCGGTACCCAATTTTCGAAATTGATAAGATCGAGATCGATTTAATTCTCTTTATCAATCATTTGCAGCGCTGCCGCCGCCGCTCTGCTAGTCCGTTCTCTCTGCTTGTTCTGGCTGCAGCTGTCTGTCCTTTTCAATCCCCGCTGCTCTCCCTGTCTGTATCGGCAGAGGCAGTGGGTACACAGACCCGTGCAGCCGGCACCAGCGGGACGAGAGACCGCTGTGGCTCTGCAATCCCCCGCTTCCCCCCCTTGTACCTCTGCTGCTGTCCCATGCCTCTTCCTCTTCTGCTGCTGTCCAGTGCCTCCGCTGCTGCCCCGTTTCTCCTCTGCATCTAGAGGCTGGGAGCCATACCCAGCCTGCTATTGTATATTTTAAAATGCAATAGCAGGCTGGCTATTGCACCTGCCCACTGCCTGCTGTCAATCAGCAGAGGAGGACCTGATGGACAACTTTCTCCTTGAGGGCTAGTTCACACCAAGCGCGTTCCAGGAGCAGAGCAGTTACAGACCGGATCAAAACTGCGTCCAATGGTATTTTGGGCTCTAGTTCATACCGCAGCATTCAGTTCCGGAGCATGTAAAACTGCAGCAAGCCCTATTTTACCTGCTCTGGAACGCATGCAAACGCACTAGAACACACTGAAAGGCCATTTTAAACTTTTTTTTTTTGCAAGAACGGCCCTGAACATGGCAAAACACACTGCACTGCGTGTGCAGAAACTCATGCAGATCTGGTCTGCATTTGGTGTGAACAAGCCCTCAGTTCCCTCCTCTGCTGATTGACAGCAGTCAGTGGGCAGGTGCAATAGCCAACCAAACCCCCCCCCCCCCTATAGCAATAAAATTTTAAAAAAAGAAAATGAAGAAAATTTAAAAAATAAAAGTTAAATAAAATGAAAAATTACTCCAAGAATATATAATGAAATGAGTTTGGAAATACTCACGAATTGCTTAAATGCATTACACTTAAAATAAACCTATTCGGTTTTAGTCGACTAAAATCCACTTTAATTTTCGTCGACTAAAATAAAAATGTAATCTGATGACTAAAATGCGACTAAAAATTTTTTCTTTTCGTCAAAAGACTAAGACGAAAATGAAATTTGGTGTCAAAATTAACACTGGTTCCAGAGATGGAGTGGTTCCTGGGTTTCTATTCAAACCTGTTTACTATCCCCAACGCAAAAAGACTCATCCATCCCATACTGGCTCTAAAGATTCTCATCAAATTCTGTCACATTCAAAAATTGTATATGAAAGCCGACCAGTCAGTCATTGCTACCCTCCACATGGGAGAACTTCTGGCCTCTGTAGACATAAAGGCTGCATATCCCTATCTTTCTGATGCACCAGTGCTACCTGTATTTTGAAGTTGGCATTCAACATTTGCCAGTTTGTTGTCCTGCCTCTTGGGTTTTAGCCCCTTTTTTCTCTTTGTTGCGCTTTAGGGCATCCCTACAGTGGTATTTCTGGCAACCTTGTTCTTGGAGAACTGTCAGCCAATGTCCTCCAAAATCTCTACAAAAGCAATGCTACCCTGTTTCCCCGAAAATAAGACCTACCCCGAAATTAAGACCTAGTACCATTTTTGCGAATTGCTAAAATATAAGACCTACCCCGAAAATAAGACCTACCGTATATACTCGAGTATAAGCCGAGATTTTCAGCCCATTTTTTTGGCTGAAAAGTGCCCCCCCTCGGCTTATACTCGAGTCAGCGTGCTTTGGTGTCCCTTTTAAAAAAAGTCAGCGGGCTCTGACTCGAGTCAGCGGGCTCTAGGTACGCTGGTCACGTTCTAAGTAGGGGTGCCGAATCCACGGTTGATCGTTCATTTGATCTGTACTCACCTCTCCGCCGGCTTCCGGGTCTTCCGTCGGAGATCCGGTGACGTCACGGACATCGACGTCACCGGACTCCTCCCCCCCTCCCCGAGTGGCTCTGTCGGCTATCAAAAGAGATTGCAGAGGACCTGGTGCAACGCGCCTTCAAGAAATGTGGCATTAGTAATGCTATGGATGGCAGTGAAGACAGCGCTTTGTATGAGAACGACAGCAGTGATGGTGATGACTGTGAACTCAGTGATGATGACAATGTCTATGCTGATAACCTCACACCAGCTGAAGCTGTTTGTATGTTTGGACATACAGATGATGAGGAGGAGAACTCCAGTTTTGAAGGATTTTAGCTCTTGTGTGTTAGCTTGGTTGCTGATTGACCTAAGGTTGTTGTACTTTTAAAGTTACGGTATTTTTTGATGCCATATTGTTAATGTTGACCCCCTTTTCCACTTACAGAGCTAAGTTATTGTTTTTCTTTGAAATAAATATTCATGTAATTTTATTGGTATCTATCTTCATTTTGTACATTTACCAGTAGCTGCCTCATTTCCCACCCTCGGCTTATATTCGAGTCAATACTTTTTCCCAGTTTTTTGTGGTAAAATTAGGTACCTCGGCTTATATTCGGGACGGCTTATACTCGAGTATATACGGTAGTTGTGACCATTCCTAGGGCCGGTGGTGGCATAAGGAGGAACTTGAAGAGCAGCGGGAGAGAATCAGCGGTGACGACGAAGCCAGCGCTAGAGGAAGCGAGGCGGCAGCGGAGGGAGCAGAGCCGCATAAGCCAATGCCTCCTCTATAGCGCCGGCTCCTGTCACAGGCACAGTGATACCAAATGCACTCCACCTGTTAGGAATCTACATGAATCTATCATAGATCTAGGAATCTATGTGAGTAAACGTGCGCTTCGCTCATTCTGGTTACCAAATTACTCTTGGAAATGTACGGTACCCCTGATTGCCCTGATCACCCTATTCTTAACTTTGCCATTTTGGATTATTTAATTTGGATTTGCATTAATTTTGAAATGTTATAAATTTAAAAATAAATAAGACCTCCCCCGAAAATAAGACCTAGTGTGTTTTTTGTTTTTTTTAGCCCAAAAAAATATAAGACAGTGTCTTATTTTCGGGAAAACACGGTAGATTTTTACTCATTGCCTAAAGAGCCTGGTCTTGGATAAGGCCCTGTCCAGGGTCTTTCTTCCCCCAGGAAACGCATGTCTCTTCACGCCCATGTTTGGTCTCTGTGGGCAATTCTATATGTCTGGTTTCTCTCCAGACTGTTTCAACTCAACAGTCTGGCAGCTTGGGACAAGTGGGCTCAGTCTTTGAAACTTCCCATATGCCTGACTGACCGGTACTAGAATCTGGGAATTTCCTTCTCCTGATCGTCTAGAAGGTGCTTTTGATGGATGCAAGCCTGTCAGACTGGGGAGTAGTCCTGGGTACCCTCTCAGTGCAAGGGATCATCGGTGGACGCTTGGCTCCTGAGAGCAATTTAGTTGACTTAACACTGGACTTCTCTGCTCCAAAGTTCACCCTAGCAGAATTCAGTGGAGCAATGCCACAACAGTGGCTTAAATCAACCATCAGGGAGGCACCAGAAGTTGTGCAGCTCACCGAAGGGTACCTGATTCTGACTTGGGCAAAACGTCATGTTACAGCCCTAACAACTGTGCACATCCCAAGCATGGAAAAAAAGGCAGATGGACGTCCTCAATCACCAACACCTAGACTCCAGAGTATGGTCTCTTCTCCCAGAGGTGTTTGGACTTGTTGTAGGTGGGAATGTCAGACATGGACCTTTTGGCTTTCAGGTTCAACAGCAAAGATTGTCTCCAGGTAAAAATCTTCTAGACATCGCAGTGGATGCTCTGTTGACTTTGTGGGATCTGTTCAACCTGATCTATGCCTTTTCCCCTCTAACGTTCCTTCCTTGGCTACTCCACAGGATCGAGATGGAGGGCATTGCAGCGATGCTCACCTCCTTGGTTTGAATGCCTAAGGAGACATTCAAACCACCACCGAGACCAAGTTTTCTGTTGACATAGGAGAACTTGCCACCAATGTGACGGGCTCCGGTACTCAGGATGCGTACATCCGCCGCTGTATTCTTCCTTGCTGATGAGATGCTGCAACCAAGTGATCTTTAGCTCCCAGTCCACCCAGTCACCCTCCGAAACTAAGTGTAGGGTGAAACAAACTCTAATTTATTGAGCAACTGTGCAACCTTTTATACACAAAGTGATCAGATAAGATTATAATCCCATCACATACACCCTGCCCTCCCCAGATATTCAAACTGCACAACCCTGCAGGGGTCAAGCTACTTAAGAGCTCCAGACAGCCATATCAGGAGTCTGGCCCGACGCAGGAGAATGGCATTGTCCTGAGGGTGGTGCTTTGGTGCTGACATTCTTTTGATAAACCGTTGAGACAGTATAATATAATTAAACATAACCCAGCAATAACACACGCACAACCTTAAACTGATGAGCATGTCGTCGCACACAGGTCCTTCCTCTTTGTTCTTATGATTTACTCCTCCCATTGTTTGCGACAAAACTGAAGCTTGCTGGGAGTGGGAGGGCTATTCTGGGGTGTCATTAAAAGTTTAGTTTCCAATCACTTGAAGGCAGCAGCATAACCCTATGTTCCTATATATTGTCCTGTGCCCTGTAATGTACCCCAAGGAAAGGATATTACAGGTAAGACAAAAATCCTTTTTTGTTTTTCTTACATTGACATATTTATAACATTATTGAAATTAAGGGCTGATCAACATTTAAATATGCATTTTAAAAAATCATTAAGAAGACTGTACACTCCCTTTTTAGATTCATTGTTTCATCAACCTTGCTTTATTATCTTAAATTATATCTAAATGTTATTTTGAGTAACTCCATTCAGTGGATAAAGGGGTATATTCTGGACTGATGTATGAAAATACTTGGTTCTCTTAATGATGTAAATGTCTTACTGCAGATTTTCCTTGCCTAGCCTACACTACCTGTGAATCGCTTACTGTTTTGAAGTCTGTAAAGAATCTTTTCCACCCATCAAGCCATATCAGTTGTGAATTGTGTTGTGAATTTTATCACAAGATCTGCTTGAGGCATGTGACAAGACCTTTTTTAATCTAATCGATTTCAGGAACATTCTGGACGTGTGTTTCGCCTTCAGTTTGATGAATTTCAAATTATTAGCAGCTCCCACGATGATACTATTTTGATCTGGGATTTTTTAAACGTTCCGTCAAATGCTCCAAATGAAACTCGTTCTCCGTCTCGGACATATACATACATCTCCAGATAGCATCATGTACATTTCTGTTCTTACCAGGTAAATTTTCCTTTTTTTTAAAGAGATGTAAACCAAGTTTTTTATTTTCCCATTGCACAGTTGTTTGTTTAGAGGTTTGGATGTTAACAAATGGTGGTTGTTTTTATTTCTAATATTATCCAATTAGTTATTAGATACTTTTATTCTCCTGTCAGACCTGTCAGTGTTCTTATGTAATAATTCTAAAAATGCATTCATTTGGATTTGTAACCTAATAAAAGAATGTGGCCAATTTGAATAGAGTATGTAACATCCCTCTGGATGTACTGTGTAAATAACAGTGGGGAGTTGAAAATATAAATGTATAAGTGGATTATAGAGTAAACCTGTGGCTGGGCTATGGACATTCATGTGTATACATATTACAAGCAATATATGAGTTTTAAATCAAATTATCCCAGACCTCTGTAGCAACAGACACTGTGGAGCAATTAATACTCAATTTCAATAAAGAAGCACTTGGGTTGCTTTCTAATAACAGCTTAGCTAATCCCGTTCCCACCTCCAGCAGTGATGCTGCAGCCTTTTCAATGTCAACACAAAACATGAATGGTTAAGCATTTTTGCAGCCTTTGCTTGCCTTAGAAAGGCTGTCAAGGAGATGAGAAGGCTCCCCGTATCAGAAAGTTATCTGTGTAAGTAAATGATTGGAGGTTTAGTTTGGGCTGTGAAAGCCAAGAAAATAATATAATGCAACTTCCCACTCATAAGTGGTGGCTGCATTAGGTTTTTTCCAGGTTTTCGTTTTACATTACTTTCACATACATACTGTATCCACAGAGATGGCTTATGACAATTTAATAAAGGAGTGCAGCACAGGCAGAGAGCACATGAAATTATCTTCTGACAAGATGGCAATATCCGCAATTTTTTTTTAAACAGCACATTTTGAACAGCTAGGAAAAATGCTTTTTAAATTATATATTTATCAAATCAAACCAAAAGGGAGCAAAAGAAGTTAATGTTTTACCTACACTATACAGCAACAAAGGTTAGATTACTGCCTTTAAAAAAATATGTAAATACTTCAATGTTAATTTCCACAGGTTCAGTTTAAACCCTTCATGACTGAGCTTTTTTTTTCTTCAGTTTCTGTTCATAAATGACTGACACACTTTTTACATTTTTGCTTTGTGATTCTTCCATGGCAGTAATATACTTTCTTACTAAATGTACCCACGCATATTATATATTGTTTTTTAGAGGACAGATAGGGCTAAATAATTATATCAAATGTGTACCGAACGCCTCACTTAGTTCGAATAAAATATTTTTAAAATGAGGTAAAAAACGTAAAAACACTTTTTTCACAAGTTTTGATTATTATTTTTTAGAAATAGTTTTTTATAATTATAGTATACAAATGTTTAATTTTTATTTTCTTGTCAATTCATATCAAGCAGTCACTATGACTGCTTGATAAATTAACTTTTTAAATTTTTGGTTATTAGGCTGCTCCAAACTTAGGAACCGCTAATAATAACTTTACCTGGCAGCATGTCATCAGATCTCACTAAAGGTGTTTGATCCTGCTCAGACTATCAGAAGTGATACATTTCAGGCAAAGAGATACATGATAATATTCCTGTGGCTGAAAAATAACACAGCTTTGTAAACATCAGGCCAGTCTATGGAGCTGTCAAAACGAATAGCAGAGAGGTGACTCACTCTGCTACCTCTCTGCTATCTTAGCTGTCAAATACCGGATCGCTATTTAGTGATCCGGTATTTGTATGTAACAGCTTAATTCTTCCATTAATGAATGAAAGAAGCTTTAACAAAAGCCTAACTATTTCATTAATGCCTCAATGCTGAGGAATTCATTAAAGGAGATCTTTGAGGCGAGTGAAAATCAGTTATAGTTGTAGCCGACCTGTGACAATGAAACTGTCACAGGTCGGCTCAATAGATCAGGACACATAGCGTCGCTCGCTCACTTCTCAATCTATCCCTGCAGAGAGCCGTGACTGTCAGTCACGGCTCCTAGCAGGGCTCCCCCCCTGTCTGATCCTCCAGCGTTGAACGGGCGGGGGAGGGGGTGGCTACAGCTGGCTCTGCCTCTAGATAGGTAGAGCCAGCTGTCAATCACGCAGCTGGGTGGAACTCGACAGTGCTGTCGGGATCCGTCCCGGCTGCGGCGTCTCAGTATACCGCGAGCTGTAACTCGCGATATACTGAGCTTTGGGTGACAAGAGGGCGCTAGTTTGTGTCCTCCCGTTACCCTTAGGGGAACTATGGGGAAAAGCCCTAACCCCATAGTTCTCCTTTAATGAATGGTAACCATTGACAATCAGCGGTTACCAACATTACAGAGTTGCAAATAACTGGTCGTGTACATTGTACGTGGCCAGTCATTTGGGCACTTCGTGGCGGGACGTACAGTGTACATGTTACGTCACGGAGGGGTAAAAGAGACGCTGTAGTAGTGACAGTTTTTTTTCACTGTGACAGTGTTTTTTTAGAGTTTTTGCTCCTTCCTCTGTTGCAGATAGAGAATACCTGGTACTTTCAGGTATGAGAGAGCACATGACAGTGCCAGGGTTTAGCAGCCAAGTGCATGACAGAAGGGAGGACATTACTAGTCCCCTATGATGTGCAACACCAGCTGACCCTGTCTATTTAAACTCAACCTGCGCCCAGACTATTTGCCCTTAAGTGTTTAAATTTCTTTCTTGTCCATTGATGGACACATTAAAGAGGAACTTTACCCATATCTTTAAAATAACAATCACACCTTTAGAAATGTTTAGTAATGACAATCTACAATCTCATACTTCTAGATAATTGCCGGCTTTGTATTCTTTGCATACCTTATTTCGCTGAGGGAAGCAAACTCATTTCTTCTTTTTATAAAGATTTATTTTTCTTCTATCAAGTTTCTACAATTGCTGCAGAAGGGCTCATTTGGCAGCTTTTGGATAAGCTTTGGCATCGCCACAAAGGCCATACCTAGACACCGCTTTAAGGAAGAAGCAGGGCTGTCTTGTAATGTGTCCTGTGTGCACTGAGCTCTACTGAAGGTGCTGTTCTAAACACTTGTGAAGGATAGGGGCCTACCTGATTCGTTTATCCGTACATTTTTAAAAGGTAGGAAATTTACTTGCAAAGCCTAACATCATACCTGAAGAAAAGTACTCCGTAGAACATCTCCCCAGTCTGGTCAATATCAACATTTGACATTGAGCACCATCAAGGGTCATATCTTGGTCTTAGCGATTTTTTTTTATTTTTTTTTAACCACGTGTTTACACCCCCTCCTGGCCAGGCCATTTTTCAGTATTTAGCGCTGCAGTACTTTGACATTTTAGTCAGTCATGCTGTACTGAAATTTTATGACATTTTTTGGGGACAGATAGTGCTTTCTTTTGGTGGTATTTAATCACCACTGCAGGTTTTATTTTTTACTATATTAATGGAAAATTACTGAAAATTTTGAAAGTGTTGTGTTTTTTTTTATATTGTTCGGAAACCATTTATTACCCAATTTTTTGGTAAAATATAAAAGACGGGGTCACGTTGGGTAAATAGACACCAAACATGTCAAACTTTAATATTGCGCGAAATTACAAAAACAACTGCTATACCCAAAATTGATTATAGGCGACGCTTTAAAAGCTTTTACTGCTCATCAGTTGATAATCAATGGCCCTAGAATTATTGCTTTCACTTTAACATTCGCGGCGATATGTAACATGTGCGGCATAATGGACACAATCATCTTCGCACGTATGCGCACCCGACGCATGTTTGTATGGGTGAGGGGATATATATATATTATTTATTTTTATTTTTTCATGTGTAACTTTATATTTTTTTTAATGCAACGTTAATTTTTTTTTCCCACTTAACTTTATTGCTATCACATTGGGGGCTAAGAAACCCCCCTATGTGATAGCAAAGAGATGTGACAGGTCCTCTTTATGGAGACAGGAGTCTTCAAGACCCCTCATGTCACCTAGGACCCCCTAAAGAAGCTGATGAAGCAGAGATCTGCTTCATCAGCTTCTCTCCAGCGTCTGAAACTGGAGAGTGACACAAGAATGCGGAAATGACTTCCGCACTTCCGCATTCTGACAGGGGAGAGGGGATCGGAGGGAGATCCCCTGTCACAGAGCCACTATGATGGTCCCGGGTTTGCACCGGGCACAGTGGAGCCCGGGACCAGCGTGACAGCGGGAGGGGTGCGGATCGCTTGTACGTTAACAGGTGTCACTGCCTGTTTTTAAGACCACTTGCCTCTCACTCATTTCTGAAAGCCTTTAACCCCTTCATGACTGAGGCCCTTTTTTCATTTTTTGCACCCATGTTATATTCCACATTTTAGGCCTGAAAATGACTTAAAACCCCCCAACATTATATAAGTGTCATTCTCAATATTTCCCATGATCATGATCAATTTAAAGTGACACCCTGAAATTTCAATCTGGTTCAACGGAAACTGCCCTTTGAACTTATCAGGGATATCGCCCTGTCCTAACTCACATGGTTGCCTTCCTCGTTGCCATCACCTCACCTGTGAGGCGAGTTTGAGTTTGGCAGCCTTAACCTTTCAAGAATGCTTTCTTGTGTTACACAAAGTCAAGGTTATGTTTTGGGCCTAAGGCCTTTCTGCCCATGGTGGTATCTTCCTATTACTTTAACCAGGATGCTATTCTCCCATACCTGTCCTTGGTCGATGACATCCCAAGATGATTTCCCACCACTGGATGTCATTTGTGCTGTTAGAGTCTGTTTCTCAGCTACTCCTTTAGACAGTCTGACTTTGTCAATCCTTAGGATCCACCTGCTTCTCGTTCCACTATGCCCAGGTGGATTTGACAGCTTATCGTTGACGCCTATAGTCTTAAGGGCAAGGTTCCACCTTTCCCTGTCAAGGTGCATGCCACTAGATCAGTTAGTGCTTCATGGGCCTTTTCAGCATCTGACATTGGTTTATCAAATTTGCAAAGCTGCCACCTAGTCTTCTGTTCACAAGTTTTGCTGCGGCGTCTGTAATGCTCTGGACTACAAATCCCGGAGATGTAAAGCTTATCTCAAGGATGAGCCCAGCTGTAAAGCTTGGCAAAACTTTAATTTCTATTTGTTGTCTGTTCTTGCAGTGAAGCTCAAGGAAACTTACCCAAGTAGCATTTAAAAGTACTTTACTTGGTGAAAATGCTGTGTGCACAAACTTAGTTACAGGAAAAACAAATACATAAACAAGACAGGCTGCTACAAACATTCACATGCACCCACTACACTATCTAGTACATGTAATGGTTTCTAAGAGAGGAAACACTAAAAATGTACTTAGCTCATGCTGCAGATTACTAAACTCTGTAATGAACCGGACTACTTGGCACATAGTGTTTTGGAGGAAAATGGCTTCTCGTTGCAGTCTCTGGTGGCCAAGTCCTTTGTATTATAAATCAGCCCTCTACTCATAAATCCTCATCTTGTGAAGCCCTCTCGTACTGTCCCCCTTCTGTGAAGCCCTCCTCAACCTTTCAGCTACTGACTTTTATTGAGAGAAAACTGGCCTCGCACTTGGTGGGGCGCCACCCCTTGACTTTGAAAGTGAAATATCATGCATTTCACTTTCCCACCTCTAGGTGGCAGCATTGTATCATAAATTGCCATCAGTAGTCCAGATTTGATTTGACCTGTGTGTGACTGTTTACACAAGACTTCCCCATATCACCATCCCATTGTGATACGAATAATGGGGAAACAATACAGGACAGCCACACCATTGTAAAAAAAACAGTTTGGTCTGTTTAGAAGGCACCGTTCATTGTGTAAAACCAGCTCTGTCAATAAACAAACAAAACCACATCTCTATTGCAAATCTATGTGTGTCTGAAAAAGTCCAATAAGATATATTGCAACACACGTCTCAGTATACCGCGAGCTGTAGCCTTAGAACTATGGGGAAAAGCACTGACCCCATAGTTCTCCTTTAACTCCAAATAGCCACAGTTTTTTGTTTTTGTTTTTGTTTTTTCTAAGCATGAACAACCTTGGAAATATAGTGAATAGAAGTGGAGCTCATCTCCCTTCCATTCCTGTGTCTCCTGTATTATAGTGGTTAAATTCAGTAAGCACCCCACTGAAATGTAGAGGGTGCCATACAAAATCATGGGTTGGGATTAAACTGACATTTTTAATAACTGTTTTAAGCTAATAGATACAATTTTTTTAAGTTGCGAAAAATTCTTTGTCTCCACACCTCTGATTTGTAATATTTGTTCCTAGGGATTAGCTATTCTGAACTACTGTACTGGATATGTGGATATGGCTAGAAGCTCATGTACAAGTAATTATCGGAAATAATGGTGCCGCACTGAAGAAAAAGTGAATCTTCAACCAACCTTTAAATCTTGTCCCATGTACTTCCAGCTATTAGAATTTACCACACCTTAATATACAGAACTTGATGAATTGTGGATTTTGTAACAGCATTTGAAAACCCAGAGGTGAACCTGTAAATTTTAAGAAGTGATAATTCGCTGAAAGAAGTTCTGGAATGATGCAACCTCATTTGTTTTGCACTTAGTGACTTTCATGAAGAATGTTTTCCAATAGTGTGGGTGCCAAACATATCCAAAATGTACTACGTGTTTGCTTTTTTTTTCTAAACCTAAACACAGCATTTTTTTCTGTTCCGCATGTATGTGGTAACTAATTAAAATATATGCCAATTATTGCTCTTTTTGGAATACATTTAGTCTTGTACACATATACCATTGTGTTAATTGGTTGACGGCTATTTTGTTTTTGTAGCAGCTGTGTAATTTTTTTAAGAGTTCTAGTTAGTGTTTTGTCCTAATTGTAAACAAAAAAGTGTGTAATATGCACAAAACCCACTAGTTTGTCCCACTAGGAGATTGTTACAAAAAATAGGAGTTCAGTAAATTGAAAATAACCTAAAAGGGATCTGTCACTGAAACATTAAACTGAAAGAAGAGCCAATCATTCATTATTTATGGTCTGTTACAGCAGTTATGTATTTTGTTGTTACCATTCTTATGAACGCATAGAAATTCTGAGCTGTTGCCATGGGAAAAATTGCACCTTTCAAGTTATGTGGTCTCTGCACCAATCTTGTGTAGATGGCCTTTGTATTTATATACCTTGTGTAACATTGTGCTGTATATTAAGGATCATTTATAACAATTGGTACAATGGAAAGTTGTGGTGTTCGCGTAGTACTCAGTAAGAAGTTTGCTTTATTTCTTTAGAGAGTAGCAGAGAAGAGAAATTAAGAGCAAAAGTGCATATATGCCGTACCCCCCACTTTCCCTTGCACTTTTATAAGTGATATCCGTGTTTCCAGAGTGCAACAGTGAAAGTGGTAAACATGATTGAACCAAGTTTCTGTATCCTGTTATACAGGCTAATTTAAAAATACATAATTTATGCACTGCAGAAAGTTTTGTTCACTTAGAAATTGCATTGTATTAATATATTAAAACTGTGCTATTTATATGTGAATCACATGCAAGATTTTTAGCCTACATTATTCATGTAGTCATTAAATAATGAGCTTGTTAACAAAGATGGAAAGAAAGTAATGTTTCGTCTATAGCAACCAATCAAATTGGGGCCTGTGGGTAAGTGTCTGAAAATACAAGAGTTGGAATATAGTTTCCTTTTTGTGAAACCTGAACATACATAAATCACAGTGAGTATTGCTACATAGAGACAACATCATTTGGGAATTAATGTTCTATTGATGAGGTGACAGTTGCACTTTAAAGAGGGTGATAATGCCAGTGTTCCAGTACGTTGTTAACCTTTTAACAAAAAGTGTTTAATTTATGTTCCTAATTTGTGCCAAAGTTATTTACAGTAGACCTATGTCCTTGTGTTTTAAAATAACTTTTGAGGTTCAAGTAAGTTTCTTTAATAACTTTGAGCATGTTGACTTTCTGCATTTGTGCATTAAAACCGGCTATTTCCTGGTAATTCTGTTTTATCTTGAATTAGTTTTTGATTAAAGTGTAGAAAACCTTTGCATAAACATGTGAATAGGCTATTAATATGCCATTAATATGTATATTCTAAATACTACTTAACTGCCTTGCAACTTTAGTGGATGCAAATCACACTAGAGATGCAATGGAATAATATTTGTAAAATAGGGTTCCTGAGGTTTTCACAATGTATAGAAGCACAAATATGTATTACGCTTTAATTAGTTGATGTCTAAAAGTTGAATTTTTCAACTAGGATAACTGTTAATAGTCATCCATCTTAAGCACACCATGGAAATGCCCACAATGCTCTGTTTGGGATAGAAATCTCTCTGTGCTTGAAGAGTAGATTATTTTTTTACATTAGGCAAACTTCTACCAGTGCTCCTAGTGAATGCTAACCTGACTGTTGGTAATGTCCAGTAAAATTGTTGGCAACATTTGAACGTAGCCATTAGGTTATACTTTTTGCTTGTGTAACATTTGTTGCCAAGAATTGTCATTAACATTTTTGACACATCTTGCATATAATGCCTGTACATATTATTATTATTTTTTTTACAATATTACTTTAAAATGTTTCGGACTCTTGTTGGGACCACCCTCCAGCACCTCCCACATTTTGTCCAGAACCACAATCTCAGGTTTTGCTTGCAGTGCCACCTGTACCTTAACCTGGATTTGCAAACCAGTTTGAATGTAAGCCACGTTACTGCTTGTGGCTTTATTAAATGCTGGCAACTGCATGACAGCCCCATTGTGGCTTACCAAATCCTTTAAACAATTTTACACTACTTTTGCAGATTTCTCTTGCTTCCAGCTAAGCACCGCAAGATACGTTCTGTCATGTATTTTAGTCAAAAAGCCAATGATGACTGCCTGTGGCTATTGGGGGACTACCTATGGACTTGTGGGGGGAGAATGGGATGTAGCAGGTAGTTGAGCTTAGTCATGGAAAGTCAGGCCCTGATAATACAATTAAAGTTAATCAGGGACGGACACAAACGGGGCTTTGCCTAGTATATGGCAGAATGCCATTGCAAGCAGGACCTGTACTTTTAAACACTTAGAGAGTAAGTTTTCACTTTAGAGCTCAAATCTGTTTGTTTTTTTGTTTATTTATTTTTTTAGTGCAGGGCATTATAGACCTGCCTCCTGAGAGTTTTACCATGTCACCCTGCACTCAGTGTAAAGATGCAGAGAGGGGTGCTAATGCATTTTAGCTGTGAAATCTGCAGCTGGGTGTGAAAGTTTAGACTTCATAACATTTTTTTAATACACCTTTGTCTTAAAGAGTTTTCTATTGTGTTTATAAGCATTATGTTTCTTCTGTTCCTTTTGAAGGTTAACTGTTGTTCTTTCAGATAAAGCATGCTTGACAGGCCTTATCCACCCTCTCTATTAGCATGCTACTCTTACTGGAAAAATCCACTTTATTTGACAAAAAGCAAAGATTACAAACCCCTTCATCCTCATTAATGACATATGCCTGATGCAGTCCTCGGATCACTGCATCACTAAATCTGGCCACTCTTGATGAACCTGGTGAAAGTATCGGCTGAATGTTCCTTGCATCCAATCAGCTGAAATAGAATACAGTGGAAACAGCAAGGGATTCCTCCATCCACACTGCTTAGTGTTGATAAATGAATCTTTGCTATTCGTTTTGGCTGATCAAAAAATAGTACATTTATGGCCAACTTTACTTCCAAACACCAAGGCCTTACAACATGTTTGCTTTTTTTTGTAGGCCAGTTAGTTTGATAGTACTGCGGCCAAACTGGTCTCCTTGCCATTATGTTCAATTAGGAGGCTTTCTCCTTGCATACCAGTGATACTGCATGCTACATCTGTATGGTTTTTTGCTATACAGATGTACTATTGCTGGCCAGCTGAGTCATAGAAAACTAACACCATCTGGCCTGGGGTAGGATGCAGTGTATAGAAGTTGGTGATGAACTGAACTGAGGACTGCGTTCATGCGTGGGACATATGTAGCTGATGGGGAGGTTGAGGCACTATATTAAGTTTGATATATCTAAACCTCTACTTGTCCTTTTAGAGAACAATTGAGTAAATTTGGTTGCATTTTAAATGGGTAAGAAGAGCCTCAAAAGCATTGTGCTCCTGTCGTCACTTGTGAACAATTTAGAGAAGTTTATGCAGGTTGCTGCATTTTCTATACTCAATACTAATTATATACAGAGTTTAAAGAAATTTACAGTATATATAATGCTTGCTTTTAAGATACACATTTCCCCTTGAAACTTGTTTAAATACAATTTGGAATCTTGTTTGTGACCCTACATGTTTAATTTGGCACCCTACACTTGCCAAATATGTTAATATTCTGGCTGCATTCTCAATTTTTTGCAAACTACTGCTGGGCATATGTACATTAAAAGCATCATTCTAAGCACTGGGATTCTTCTGTTTATCTGCTATTTCAGCATCTATGTATGAATAGCTTATTGGAACTGTACATATATTGTTTATCAAAAGCTTTGTTACTGTGGAATGTGCTTAATAAAAAAACCTGATTTAAATTAACTGTTTTAAAGTGTGATTTAAAGATGTAAACATTATTTCTCTTTCATTCATTAAAGGACACAGCGGAGATCTTGATCGCTGTACCAATACAACTATTGCAGGAGTAGGACGCTAGGGACAAAAAAAAAAAGCAGCTCTGCTCTGGGGGCGGCTTCTGCTGGTGTCCAAACACCATCCAAGGCAGCTCAGTTTTTTGCCGAGTGTCCAGGAATCAGGAGGTGCGAGGAGCCTAGCAAGAGCACGGGACAGTGTCTCGCATTCTTTGCTGGGCAGAAAGATTTGTCGGCTCTGTCTTCTGTTTACATTCCAGGAGTAGTCAAGTGGCAGGCAGATTATCTTAGTTATCAATGCTTGGATCAAGGAGAATGGGCTTTACATCCAGATGTTCATATATGGCAGAAATGGGGAACTCCAGATGTGGATCTTCTGGCCTTCCAACTCAATTGGAAAGTGCGGAACGTTTCTCCTTTCCCCCTCTAAAACTTCTTCCACAACTTCTATGTTGAGTGGAACTCAAGGGATACTGGTAATTCTGGTGGCTCCTGATTGGCCTCGGTGCCCTTGGTATGCAGACTTGGTGAGGCTAGTCGTAGACGTCCCCTGTTGACTTCCTCTTTGACCGGACTTTTGTCCCAAGGTCCAATCTTACATCCTGCTTTAACAGGATGGCTATTAAAAGCCAGGTGCTGAGAGAGAGGGGGTTGTCTGAATCTGTGATCCCTGCAATTCTTAAAGCATTTTAGTCTACCTCTTGGAAATTATATCCTCAAACCTGGAAAGCTTGCATTTCTTGGTGAAAGGCTTAGTATTTCTCCTTGTGCCTTTTCGGTTGCTCATATTTTCTATTGCTATTGTCTTTCGTTGGCTTTAAAGGTCAGGTCTCTGTGAAGCTTCTGTGGCAGAAGAGAATTCCAATCTCTTCTGTCATAGAAAGGCTGCCTATCTGTATTTTTTCCCTTTTAGTTCACTTTCAGTTTAACAGAAATGTCATCAGTGAGACTTGGGCTTTGCTGTCTAGTGGCATTACAAGACTGGGTAAAAAGAAGTGGGACTTGTGTCAAAGGGCAAATTAAGTTTTTCACTTCAGTTTTAGATTCTTCCCTAGATCATTCAGAGTTCTTATACATATATACAGTATGTATTTCAACTCTTTATTTAGCTGTTTGGTTGGTAAGTGGTTAAAAAAAAAAGTCTATCCACCAACATTCATTTGGATTCATGTGTTCTAAAATAGCAAACATTTTTTGTTACCATTGCCAACTGGCATGGAACAGTTCAACTGATACCCTTAAACTGTGTGCTTGTGAAAAATCTTAGTCCGCGTTGGCAGGGGAAAATCTTGAGTTTGTAACAACAAATGACGTTAAAGCTTTTTCGTTCTCATGTATATGAAGAATATTACCTTTCTAACCAACAGTTGTCACTTTTACTTTATGGTCTTTGGAGTGCTTCATGTTTACCTGATGCCTTCAACTTCCAAATAGATATAGAATAAATAAGGTAGAAAAATGGACTGTTGTAGTTCAGCAA